TCAGATTTTTCAGAGTTATGGGTATTTTGCATGAATGCCAAATAGGCTTACCAGAACTGCTTCTTATTTAGAGAGTTGTGATATTTTTAAATATTGCCACAATCTGTTCCTTTAGCTTGTATGTGCTTGCGTTTTGCATGTATCTCAGTTTGACATCTAGCATGAGTCAATGGCAGAGTAATGGTAATTTCTTACTTCTTCTTATTTTCCTTCTGCAGGAGCTATAATCTGCCATTCCAAGACAAAAATAAAACAAGAATATACATTTATGCAACTGCCTCTCATATCAAGGCACTGGGAATGGGGCAAAACTGATCTAGGCACACAGTGGAGTCCCCTTGCAAGATCATCATGAGGTTCTTGGCCTAGAGCTCTGTCACAGGTAAGCCTGTGATGTGGTAAGACACTCTGGTCCTCTGGAATTGCTCAGAAAGGTCCTTCATTTTATAGGAGAGGACACAAGGCCCAGAGAGGTTAGGTGGCCTCCCCAACATTACAGTCTTACGATTCGGTGGCCAATACTCCTTCCACATCAAGGTGACCCATTCTACCCTATAAAGATCGCCCAAATATAAATTATAGTAAAATATACAAAAATACATATTAAAGTATGATAAACACCATACACAAAACATAGAGTCTACCAGAGTTGGCAAAACAGAGGAAGAAGGTTAACTTTCAATCATATGGTTCCATGCCTACCCAGATTTCATTCAACTCATCTGCTCCATTAAGCGTTCTTACCCTTCTAAGTTTTATCAGTTCTGCACTGGTTCAAGGAAAATAGACTCCTAGATCTTCACTTTGTTGGTCGCTGAATCTTTCAGCTTAACCTGCAGGCTCAGGACACTATCCATCGTCACGCTTATAGGTCTTACTTAAAGAGAATTCCTCAGCCTCATCTGGAATTTTCCAGAAGTAAATTCTAGAATGAATCTTTAATAGGTTGCCTTGGCAGCCCCACAATGTCAGAATCAGATATGACAGTACCTGCTAACAGAATGTGGACAACACAAGCTGGATGAGAGAACCACTTCCTGTTTATTGGAAAGGCAGGTTCCAGGTTCTTCAAGCTTTCTTTCTGCCACCACTTGCCTCCCTGTCAAACATTTTTGCATCATGAACACAGAAAACAAAGAACAGTTGGTTTCTTGGAGGACCGTTGAAACTATTAGCTAAAACAAGGCCTGGGAAAGATCCATGGCTTTCTTTTCAAAATCCTTGTTGCTATTGCCCGAGAGGACTAAGCACTCATTGTGAAGCCCTTAGAAAAGTTTTTAGAGAATTTTCTCTAAGAGCACTTATTCTTGTCTGGGTTTCATTCATATATTCATTCAACAAATATTTGTTGAGCATCTATGGTGTGCCAGGCACTGTGCTGGACCCTGGGGATATACCAGTTAACAGAACTGACGAGGTCCCTTCCCTCATGAAGTTTATTTTATTTTATTTTATTTTTAAGATTTTATTTATTTATTTGAGAGAGAATGAGATAGAGAGAGAGCATGAGGGGGGGAGGGTCCAAGGGAGAAGCAGACTCCCTGCTGAGCAGGGAGTCCGATGCGGGACTCGATCCCAGGACTCCAGGATCATGACCTGAGCTGAAGGCAGTCGCTTAACCAACTGAGCCACTCAGGTGCCCCCTCATGAAGTTTATAGCCTAGTGGGGGAAGCAGACATTAATCAAATAATCATAAAAATAAATGTGAAATTGCAAAGGAGAAGTACATGTATTATGAGAGTGAGTCAGGAGGTCAAGCAAGTAAATGCTTATCGGAGAAAGTAAGCTTTGAACTGACTTCTAAAAGACAAATGCTGATTAATTAAGTGAAGGTATTGATAGGGGGAAGGAGTCAAGCATACACTTGAGTTAAGACTAGGTTTTAAGTTTACCAAACCTGAAGTTAGTATTTTTACCAATATTCCAAAGAGTACAACATCTGTGAGTCTCATTTACATAAAACTCTCTAAAACAGAGTTTCTCAAACTTTAATGTGCTTATAAATCACCTAGGGATCTTGTTAAAACACAGATTCTTAGGCCCAGCCCCTAGAGGTTCTGGTTCAATAGGTCTGGAGTGGGGCTCATGAATCTGTATTTCTAATAAGCTCCCCAGTGATAGTGAAACATGCTTTGAGTGGCAGGGCTCTATAACACTGCATGAGTTTTATTTGTTTAAATCTCTTTCTTTGTCAACCCACTCTTTCGTAACTTTTAAAGTCAAACTACATTCTACAATGTTCTTATGATTTTTATGGTCCATTCAGTAGTGTTACCAGAACAAAAAATGTGGTGTGATATATAAATAAAATAATGTCATAAGCTAAAGATCTCAAATATTTGGAAAGACTGAGAGAAATAAAAATTATAAGCAAACTGAGGTATCAGTAATGCTGTGAAATTGCACTGATTTACCTGAGTGACGTGGATTGTTATTCTTAGTGAAAAGTCTGATTCACAAAGCAGTTTTAAGGAAATGTCATATAAATCAACCTGATGTAGCTGAGGATAGGAAACTTCTATATGTGTAATGACTCTTTTACTTGAACAGGTTCACTTTCACTTTTGAATGAAGCTCTGGATTTTATATCACATGAGATGAAAATAACTTTTGCAGCAGTCAAAGGCAGGCCACTCCAAAATGTGCCACTTTGGCAAAGAGATTATTTCCAGCTAAAATCAATCAAGGCCCCAAAAGACACATGAAGAAACTTCAACCTTCCCCCTAACTGTGTAAAAGAATTTATACAGAGGACCTGCTCCAGGAAGAGAGCTATCGCCGTAGATAACTCTATCATGATATGAACTAGGTACGGTAGACAGGAAGGAACCTAACAAGACCTGTTTGATCAAATTCCTATGTCCCATTGTTTCTGAGTGGCCCAGCAAACATTTGTTTACCCAACATTTACTCTCGTTCATCTTCCTGTGAATTGCTTCCCTTCCCTTTGAAGTCCCAGACTCCTACCCTCTTCTCCTTGGTTCAGGATGACATATAGACCTCATCATGCCTATGTTTGGGATCTCCTGTCTGTGTGGATTTCCTGCATGTACATAATTAAGTTTTATTTTCTCCTGTAAATCTGCTTCATGTCAGTTCAATTCTTAGACCAGCAGGAAGAACTTTGAAGGGTATAAAAAGATTTTTCTTCCCCAACATCTCCCTTTTAGGTCTGCTTCTCACTACCAAACACAATTCCTGCTGGTTTGTCATATTCCTGCTGGTGTGGCTATGTGAAAGAAACACTATGAAAACAAGCTGGTGAGAGATCCAAGATTTCTATGCATTGTTTTTCCTGAGAAGGTTGTGAAATATAGGGCCTAGAGCAAACTACTGTCATTTTTTAAAAATTAAAAATGAAGCTTTCTGTGCACAGAATAGGAGGATTAGGAAAGGGAACCAGGAGTAAGTTCTTGTTATTTCAAAAAAATATCAGCCCTGCCATGTAACAGCTGTGTGTGAATTTGAGAAACTTTTATATTACCTCTCTGTGCCTGTTTCTTAGAAAACCAGGATATAAAAAAAGAAAAGAGAGAAAAGGAAAAGAAAAAGAAAAACTTGGATAGTAATAGTACCACCACACTGAGTTAAAGTAAGGAATTAATGACTTAACATATATCATGGCAGCCGAGTTAGTTGCCTAACCAATATCCATTCTCCCTTTCTTCTTTACAAGTAAAATCTCAATTTTGTTCTAGGTGGCAATGGGCTTAGCCAACAAAATTTGATTTGCTAGGTTCCCTTGCAGTTAGGGGTGGTCATGTGACACGGTTCTGGACAACAAAATATAAGCCGAAATCTACAGGCTGAGGCTCCCAAAAAAGCTATTTTCCTGATTAAAAAAAAAGAAAGAAAAAAGACAAGACTCAGCTGACATGAGCCCTTTCCTCTTTGCCCTTCCCCCATTCTGCCTAGAACCAGGACACAATGTCTGGAGGAGGAGCAGCCTTCTTGTGAGCATTAGGAAGAGAGCCTCATGCTGAGAATGATAATGCAGAAAGGTTGAAAGATGAGCCTGAGACATGGATAACAATGTGAAGTTGCTTCTCTCATGACTTCATATCACGTGGGATAAAAACCAACCCCTCTGTGTTAAGTCCTTGCTATTTCACTTACCTTATTACATGCAGCCAACCACATTCTCTAACCAGTATACCTATAAAGCAGTTTTAGTAGTGCCTAGCTCATCAGTAGTATTCAATAAATGTTAGCTGTTGTTACTATTATAATTTGCACAGCATTCTGTTCCCTAACCAAATGGTTAGCAAGTATTCCCCTCACTTCCTTGCAATAGTACCCCAATTTTCCTTTTTGAAATCAACTCTCTCCTTATTCTCAGCCCCGTGGTTTCCATGGGATTGACATCACCCCTACTTTAAGTATAGGCCCTGGGGGGCGCCTGGATGGCTCAGTCAGTTAAGCATCTGCCTTGGCTCAGGTCATGATCTCAGGGTCCTGGGATCCAGCCCCACATCAGGCTCCCTGCTTAGCGGGGAGCCTGCTTCTCCCACTTCCTCTCCCTCTGCCCCTCCCCCAGCTCACGCAGGTGCTGGCTCCCTCTCTCTCTATCCCTCTGTTGCTCTTAAATAAATAAATAAAATCTTAAAAAAAAAAAAGTATAGGCCCTGATGGGCTAAGCAAATCAGCATGAGCCCACTTCCCAAACAACAGTGATTGTCAAGGAACGGGCCCATAACTCAGGCCTCAGGCAGTGAACACAACACCTTTACTTGGCAAAAGGGAATGTTCAGGTGGGCATGTAGCTAAAGACTGGCAATATAAGTGAATCTTGGGGTTCCTGGAGAGAGCGCTGGGGTCTAGACTCACTGTCCTGAGCCAGGTGTGGTGCTCAGAGTAAGGCTGGCACCATGAGGAGAGCCGGTGTGAGGGGTACAATTGTACATGGAGAAGGGTGACTGGGAGAGGGCAGGGAAATGGAGCTGGAGCCCTCCACCGGAAATCTCGGCATGAAATTTTACCTTACAAATTTTCAACTCACATTCATTTGAGACTGGTTTTGCTAACTTGGTTTGGATTCAGTCCTCTGTCACTTGCGACCACAAGATTCTTTCTGACACTGTCAGATGGGGAAAAAAGAAAAAAAAAAGAATTTAACATAAGGATTATAGACTTAAAAGAAACTTTCCAAACTCTTGCCTAGTGCATCTATTTAATCAAACCTAGGGTCAAGCACAATGTAAATTCATACCCAAATTGCCTTTCCAACAAAAAGGAACAACAACAAAATCTGCAATTTGCAATCATGTAAATTCATTCATATTTCTTTCCCAAAAGAGAAAACCCAGGCAACTGAAAGTGTTTTATTTTTGTTTTTTTGTAAACATGTCCAGGACAACTCCTTTAAGAATAGATGTGTATTTGGGTTTTAGAATGAACGTTGGACCCAGAGGCTGACACTGTAAACCTGTGACTAATACTGAAACAATATTCACAGACAGTTGTCATGGCAGCCTGCTCATTCTGCACAAAATCGAAGCTCCTGCATTTTAACAGGATTTATCAGAGGAAAGCCGCCAGCCTGCAGATAGCCTCTAAGTTAAACAACGGGCTAATTGGTTTTATTATTACATTAGCCCTCAGACTATACCCGAATTATATTCCCCCAAATCACAAATACTTAAAATCATTAATAAAAACCCATAATATAATTTTTGTTTAACACTGCATCACTCTTGAAATCTTCCCATCAGACTATGAGGAACAACTTAGAGGCAAGTCCCATGGTGTGCGCTGTTGAATCTCCTTGTAAATCTAAAGAAGATAGTAAGTGTCGGGCAAGTCGAGGGAGTAGCCAATTTCATTTCCATCAACAATTAGCATTGGCTAGATGCAACTATCAGATATTTCCTTTTAAGTGGGATTCTGTAGGAGAGGGGAGAGGCCAAATTGTTCTGTGCTCAGTTACAAAGTCCCAGGGGAGTGACTTTAGAAACTAGTGGCATCTCAAGACATACAAACAAGGGAGGTGAAGACAAAGGATTTTGATCTGATCTGTTCCTCTGCTGGGTGGCTATCTCTTACCAAATTTAAGCTCATTGGTTGGGAATGGTTTGTGATTGTGAGTGATTTTGGAGATTAGAGATAGCTGGTGTTGAGAGGAATACCACACGGGGCCATCTTTACTGTTAGACAGAATTTTCACGTATCACCCTGCCCCCCTCTCCCCTCTGCCTTCTCTTCTTTTGAGTCTCTACTTTGAGAGGAGACAGGGTCTATTAAAATTCAATAACATCCTGAGTTAGGAAAACAACATCAAACCATTATCATCCATTAACAGCTTGGAACAAATCAGTCCTTCAGGTAAATTAATGTTCTTCAAACTCCTTGAGAAGGGGCCATGTCATACACTTCAAAAAAAAAAAAAAAAAAAAAACAACCTCCCACACTACCCAATACTGTGCTCCTAGACATATTGCAGGCATGTGATAATAAACAACTTCTACCAAGGGACTGCAACACAGAGCAGCCCCTCACTAGCTGGTGGGCAGATTAGCGGCACTGTCAAAATGATATAGGAGACATCTAAGGGTGAGAAATGTGGAAATGTTGAATCGGTAGGTATATATTTTCCCTTCATGTAACTGAAACTCCTACTAAACAACGGCATTACAAATTAGGGGTTTTATTTTTCACATGAAACAAAGAATCTGGAAGTACGAAATCTGGGGCTGGGACACAGGCACCTTCTTTCTTTCAGCTGAGTCAAGTAGCTTTCTTATTCAAAATTGTCAACTCATGGTCACAAAGTAGCTGCTCTACCTCCAACATCCACATTTGCATTCCAGGCAGAAAATAAACAACTAAGGGCAAAATGACGCATACCACCTGAGTCTATGTTCATTTAAAGAAATTGTTTTGGAAGCCTCCCTGCTTCCAAACATCTCATGGCCAGAACTGTGCCGTGCAGTCTCTTTTAGCTGCAAGGGAGCCTGGGAAATCAAGTTGTTTTAGCTAGATACGTTGCCAAATGAAACAAAATGAGGCGGTGCAGTGTAGAGGTTGAATAGAGCCTACAGAGCCAGATGGCCTGGGTGTGAAGCCCTGCTCCTTATTTACTAGCTGTATGACTTACACAAGTCACTTAATTGTTCTATGCCTCCGTTTTTTCATCTATAAGCCAGGCACAACAACCTTTTCTCACAGGGTTCCGTGTGGATTAAATGAGTTAATGTGACCAAAGAGTTTAGAATGGTCTCTAATACATAGCAAGTACTATACAAGGGTGTATTCTTATCTTTATTACTGAGGAAAAAAAGAATGAATTGGGGGTAAGCAACCAATGGAACCCCAGATGTGTTGCCCACTCTTGATGACCTCCACCTGTCCTGGCTACTGTGCTCCGTGTGAGCAAGTACCCTGCTGTGTTTGAGAACTGCTGGATGGCTCCCAAGACACAATGACACCAAAAACCTGCCCTGCTGTTAGGGGCTCTTTCCCCATTTACTGGGAACTGAAGGCAACCAAAACTTCCGAGTATCTGAGACAGGACACCACTGCCAGGCACCATGCTGATGCCCATCCATTTTCGACGAATCATCAGGACTCCTTCTGTTGCAAGCATCAGTGAACCCCATCCCAGCTGGCCTAAGCAAAACCAGGAATGCCTTCTTCCAATAACTGAGGAGTCAACAGGTATACGTAAGGCATGGCTTGGTGGAGGCCTTACAGGACGGCATCCAATCGTTCTCTTTCTCAGCTCTAATCCCTCACTCCATTCTTACGCTTCAGGCAGGCAGCAGATGTCTTCATGGTTTGTGGTCACTCACTCACTTCTCCATTCCCCGCATTTGACTCCCACCTCCTCGAAGGAGAAACAAGACGTTCGCTTTTCCAGTCTCTCTCCAGACAAGAGCACTGGGGTGTAACTTAGGCTCCGCCAGAGACTTCAGTTAAGAAGGCAGCACGAGGAGCCAAGGGGTTAGGAAATCCATCTTGTGACAACGTCAGTGACAGAGGGGTTCAGTTTTCAGAGGCGCGGGGCCCCATCACTGGCTTGAGTTGCTGCCTCTGTACTCAGTGGGCGTCTTGGCTGGTGCAGCCCTGCGGTGAGATTAAGATACTATTCCTGGCTTTGGAGTCTCCAAGGCCTTTTTGGAGATACTGTATGCTACCAACTATCCTTTAATAAACTCATTTTCTTGGGAAACTAGCAGAAGTACTGAATCCACTTAGGTGATGTGAGGCTTTGGTAACAAACGATCCCAAATCTTCATGGCTCACAATGATCAAGGCTTACTTTTCATTCTGATTCCATGGCCAGTGTAGGTTGGCTGCAGTCCCATCACCTGGGGTCTTTTCTCTAAGACTCAGGACAACCTCCCTCTGAGCGTTGTTCTTCCCATAGCAAAGGGCAACACTGAAGTAGTGAATCCCAAGCTGGCTCTTCACACTTCTGCTTGGAAGCGATACACATCACTTCTGCCCACATTCAATCAGCCGAACAAGTCACCCGGTCAAGCCTATGGCGGGGAAAATGGTGTAAAAATCCCACAGGGGGAAGAGCAGTGAGTACTATGAACAAGAGGGTTCCGCTGTATGCGACCAAGAGTCCGGTCTGATACATTGCAATAGTCAGGTGAGGGCAGCAGAACCTCCAGCCTCTGGATGATCTCACGTTCAAGTCAAGGATCGAGGAACAAGCAAATGTCTCTTCTCGGAGTTCAGGTAAAAGCCCCAGGATTAGCTCTGATTGGGAGTAACTGAGCCGGCTCTGAACAGATTCCCAACCCTGAAGAGATTCATTCAAGACATATTTATTGGACCCTTACTATGTATCAGGCACTACTTGGGCTCTGTGGAACAAAGCAGTGAACAGAACCAAATCCACACCTTCATGGAACTTTCATTCTAGTTAAGGATGGCGGGGGACAAGCAACAAAAGGAGTAAGTAAATACCCAGCAAATGAGATGGTAGTAAGTCTTGCAAAGAATAAGGCGGGAAAGGGGTATACTGCATTTCCAGTGTGTGTGTGGGGGGGAGAGTAATGGTAAATAGGGCAGTCAGGAGAGGCCTTGCTGACAAGATATTTGGGCAAATACCTGAGCAAAGTGCGAGAGCGAGCAATGGGATGGCCTAGGGAAAGAGCATTCAAGGCTGAGAGAACAGCAGGTCCAAAGACCCCGAGGCAGAAGAGGCCCAGTGTGTTTGAAGAACAGCAAGCAGGCAAGCGTGGCCGGAGTATACCGTAAAAGAAAAGGCAAAGTAATAGGATGTATAATCCGAGAGGTAATGGACGAGGGAGAAGGCACATCACACAGGGCCTGGCAGGCCACTGTATGGCCTTGGCTTTCACTCTGGCTACGGTGAGGAGCTACTGGAGGGTTCTGAGCACAGGAGTGAGACGATCCAACTCACCTTTTAAAAGGGTCACTCTGGCTCCTGGGCAGAGAATAGTCCATAGGGAGAAAAGGGCAGAAGCTGGGAGGCCGGGATATGAGGTGTTTGGCAATGACCCAGGCCAAATGGGATGATGGCCTTGATTGGTGTGGTAGCAGAGGAAACACGGAAAGCGATGGATCGGATTCTCCATAGATCCTGAAGGGGAAGCCAATAGGATTTGCTAGTAGGATTAGATTCAGGGTATGAGGAAAAGAAGAACCAAGTCTAATTCAAAGTTTTGGGCCTCAGTGGGTGGAAAGATGAAGCTGTTGTGATGTGACAGAAGGAAGAGAGAGGGGAGCAGATTGAAGGTGGATGGCAGGAGCTTCGCTGCAGCTCTGACAGGTTGGAGATGCCTACTGGACACACATCTAAATGGACATGTGGAGCAGGCAGATTCGGAGTTTGGGAGGAAAGGCTCCATGAGGTTATAGGTGGTATTTCAAGCCATCCAAATGAATGAGGTCGTCCAGGGGGTGGGAATGAATAAAGAAGAAGTCCATGTGCAAAGGTGACTGAGAAGCGGTGACTCCCACGGTGGGAAACAAAAATCAGGAGAGGACGGGGTCCTAAAAGCCAGGAGGGCAAAGTGCTTCCAAAAGGAGAGGAATCGGAGACAGTGCCTATGGACACACATCTTTCTAGGAGTTCTGCTGCAAAGAAGAGCAAACAAATCAAACTAGCTAGAGGCACAAAGGGGATCAAGAGTTCTTTTTTTTATTGTTTTTTTTTTCAGAATTTATTTATTTATTTGACAGACAGAGACGGCGAGAGAGGGAACACAAGCAGGGGGAGTGGGAGAGGGACAAGCAGGCTTCCTGCGGAGCAGGGAGCCCGATGCGGGGCTTGATCCCAGGACCCTGGGATCATGACCCGAGCTGAAGGCAGACGCTTAACGACTGAGCCACCCAGGCGCCCCTCAAGAGTTCTTTTTAATGCTGAGATTGCAGCATGCTTGTAGGCTCATCTGAAGGAGAGAACAGAGAAGGTAAACAATGATGTAGGAGAAAGGAGACTTGCTAGAGTGATTTCCAGGAGGAGGCAAGAGCAGGTGGCGGGCTGGATTTTGATAGGAATGCAGACAGTTCATCTCGGACCAGACTTCTCAGCTACAGCACTATGGACATTTGGGACTGGGTAAGCTTTGCCGTGGGGGCCTGTTGTGCGCTTGGCGGGATGTTTCACAGCATCCCCGGTCCCTACCCCCTAGATGTCAGCAGCACACCAACCCCTGCACCCATGCTGTGACAACCAAAAGTGTCTGCACACATTACCAAATGGCCCCCAAGATTTCGCCCCCCCCCCACCAGGGGACATTTTGGGTGGTCACAACTGGGGGGAGGGGTGCTGGGGCATCGAGTGGGTAGAGGCCGGGGATGCTGTGACGCATCCTACCATGCACAGAACGACCCCCCTGACCAAGAGTTACTCAGTCCCAAATGTCAACACAGCTGCTGAGAAGCCCTGATCTAGAGGAAGAGGCCTGGTCTCGATCTATGATGGCACAGATGCCGGCAGGTGGGCAGAGGTGGTGGGGACTTGTGGAAGCTCTCTTCTCATTGCTTCCAACTCTTTATTGAAAAAAGAAACAGGTTCATCAGCTGTGAGACTGGGAAGGAGGTACAGGAAGTTCAGGGAGAGAAGATATGAAACTGTCCTTTAGAAGAGAATGAATGAATGGACGGGGAAGTAGACGCGATTCTAGGCTACGTTAAGCGTTCACTTGAGGTACGGAGTCAAGAATTTAGTGTGAAATCAGTTGACCTGGATATGTGTTCCTCTTGGGGCCATATACAAGGGCAGAGTATGGAGAGAGTTGGACTTTACAGACTGTGGTTTTGCCAACAAGTACAAGCAACAAAAGGGCAAACGAGTGATAAAAATGACCACAGAAGTTGAGCCGGGTAAGAAGACAGAGGGATATAGATGACTATGAAAAGGCAGATGGGCAAAGAGCAACAAATATCAAATATCCATTCCAATAGGTTACTTTCAAATGTTTCGAACATGATGAGCTGCAAAAGGGAGGAAATTAAGGTGAGCTGACATACTAAGGTAATGACATTGTCTTAGTAAATACTGGAGCATGATGCTGAAAGACAGAGTATAACCATTTCTAAATGTAATCAGATAAACGGAGCTTCCTAAGTCAGCTCAGTGTTTGGGGCCACGGTTTCCTTGGTTGAGTTGCTCTCCATCAGTGAAGCCATCCGCTGGGGAAGCCAAACCAAACATCCGAGAAATCAGGAGACTCAAAAGTTTGAAGTGACTTCTAGTCCTTATTTACTAGTTTGCTGATGGATTTGACTTACAGTTGTTCAGATGCTTATGGGCATACCGGGGGGGGGGGGGGGGGGAGACAGGCCTCACACATCTGACTGAATTGCCCGAAGTACCAGGCAAAACTGTGGCCATCTGAAAGGCTATCCATGATGCTGACACTTCCAAGGTCAAAGTTGTTTCCGGGCAGGCTTTTGTTTCCTGCTTTTGAGGACTTCATCTTAAAATTACAAAGGAGGGACACCTGGGTGGCTCAGTCGGTTGAGCGCCTGACTCTTGGTGTTGGCTCCGTCATGATCTCAGGGTCTTGGGATCCAGCCCCGTGTTCAGGTCACCCTCTGAGGGTCATGGAATCAAGCCCTGCTTTAGGCTCCACGCGCTGCAGGGAGTCGGCTCAAGAGTCTCTCTCTCAAATAAATAAATCTTTAAAAAAATGAAATAAAATTACAAAGGAAAAAATAAAAGGTATCCATTTCCTCCCTGAGTGCATATGAAATGTAACAAGAAACCAAGGGCACTCTTATGGGAACAACATGTAGCCTTTGTGGACATGGGCCTCCTGAAATCACTTAGGTATCAGAAGACTGAGTATAAGCAGAATGGTCTCAGGCAAGGCATTCAGACTCGTCGGCTTTAACTGCCTCAGCCGAAAAATGAAGATAGTCAAACTTAGCATGGCTACCTCATAGGAGTGTATGTGAAAGTGCTTTGTAAACCATCTTGTACTTTACTAACAATAGAGATTGTGCCTACACTTTGAGGGCAGCAGGAAAGTGGAACGAAAGTCTCCCTCCTTGTCAGAATGGAAAAAAGGCACAAGCGTTTTTCACTAAAGGCAGAAACCTACGTGGCATGCAGCAGAGGGGGCACCAGCTTCTTTTCTACATGGAGTACGTGTGGGAACTTGGCCAAAGCTTGCACTCAGAGAACCCATCCTTTAGAGCAAGGGCAGACAGAAAGCTGGAAGACCAGCAAAGCATTCCCTAGAGAAAAACCAAAACACAACTGTGAGTGTAATTTCAGGCCTAATTCGCGGCAGCCTTGTTCTGCACTGACAGAGGTTTGGAAACAGGTGGGATATACTTATCATAGGGCATCCTGGGAGTCATTATGGTTCATGGATTAGCAGGAAATGTTGAGCTTTCATGAATCCATCCTCCTGCTGATGGCTATCCACTCGTGGTCATCTGCATCAAGTGCTCAAGAGGCCTGGAGAAAGGTATCAACAAAAAGCCATTCTGCAACGGGCCCCATGATGAATATTACAGGGAGCTCAGTAGGAGGTAGGAAGCCTGGTAGTAGAGAACCCAAGCACTAGCTGCAGGCCTGCCTCTATTCCTATGGAAAACATACATGGCAGGTAACTGACTTCATTTGCCCACCTGGAAAGGAGGGATAACATTTAGACCCAGAGGGGAAGTGGGGGTATCTAGTCCAACCCATGCATTTCACAAAGGAGGACACTGAGGCTTGGGAGGTGAACTGAAGAGCACATAGCTAGTGAGTAACCAGGGCAGGGCTAGAATCCAGATTATGCCCCCCAGATTAGTGTGCCTTCCACCCACCTGTTTCTTCCAGGGGTCTTCCCAGGAAGACAGGAATTGGCTGAAGGGGTTGCTTTCATACAGTCAGTACCATCTCTCCATCATTCTGCCAGCTTCAGAGGAAGACGCCAGGGAAAAAGACAGCCCCACCCAGCCTTCAGTGCATATGAAATGCACTGTTCAACTCAGCACTTAAAGATGCCTGATCTTCAGCGGGTTTTCAAGCTTGAGGATGGTGAGCAATCCTAGGACGGTGACGAAGATCCATCCAAAAGCACTGGGGAGGGCAAACGGCAATAACAAGGAAAACTAAAAAGCGAGACCACACAGGGAGCCCTTCGTAATGGAGGGTTCCAGCATCTGTTCGGGGCCCACAGTCCCGGAAGCACAGCGACAGGTTCACGGGCCACGACCTGTGGGGTCGCAGGGGCCGGCGCTGGGTTTAATGCTCTGCTTTTCACCGTTTTGGAGTTCCTAATAACTCATGAGCAAGGAACCTGGCATTTTCATTTTGCACTGGGCCCCTCAGATCTTGCGGCGGGTCCCGCTTCATCACCCCCAGGCGTAAACGGGTGGCTCGTCTACACGGGCCCTCCCATCCCCACCCCAGACACATAAGGGCCATCAAAAGTCCTGCGACTTTCAGCCCCCGTGGGCGGGGGTGGGGGGTTCGGAGGAACGCGGTGAAAACGTCAGGGGAGCTTTAGGAGCCTACACCCTCGGGCAAGGGGCCCACTAACCAGCGGCCTCTTCCAACCCTGGCAACAGAAAAGCCAAAATGAACAGTGACCCCCAGCCCACACCCAAACCCCGCGCTGCCTGAATCTTTGGCTCCAAGTGGCGCTCCTGTCCGCCCTGCTCCGGACTCAAGGCCCCCCCAGGGCTGCCGGCAGCGGCTCAGGGTGCCCAGGGATAAACGGGGAAAGCGCGGCTCCCTCCCGAGCCGAAGGAAGCTGCCTAGAGCGGTCGTGGCCGCGGCACGGTTCGCTTCCGCCCGCCCTCTGGGCGGGTCCCGCCGGCTTCGCAGCTGACAGAAAGTTTGGGACGGGTGATTAGCGGGGCGGCTCTCAGGAGGGAAACCCCAGCCCCGGCCTCGCCCTGGTCACAGAGGTGACGAACATGGCGGGCAGGTTACGCGAGCAGCCCAAACGCCACAGGCGGAGCCGGGGACCTGGCCGCGAACACCCTATCTTGCAGGTGGGGCGGAGCCACGGCGGAGGCGGAGCTACGGCCGAGAGGCGGGTTTTGAGTGGAGGCGCTGTTTCGGACGTGAGACTATGAATACGCTAATGACGGCAATGTCGTAACGCGGAGGTTCCATAGTGTAGTGGTTATCACGTCTGCTTTACACGCAGAAGGTCCTGGGTTCGAGCCCCAGTGGAACCAGAGGTGCGAAGTTCCTTTTCTCTTCCACTTTTATTTAACATTTGAGGGCACAGGCAAAAAAACGGAAAGCAAGACAAAGTTCTTTTCTTACTCCTTTAAAAGATAATATTTGTTTTACTTTTCTATTTGGGGACATTTAAATTTTTTTTCTTAATTTTTAATTTTTTTTTTGGGGGGGGGATATGTTTTTATCACAGAAGCGTAATGACAAATAGCCTGTGCTTCCATCAGCAACCGCAGAGGTGCGTGCCTGGTCGTGTAGTCCTGAGGACGTCCCCGCCCGGGCCCAGGCGGCCTGGGAAAATCCGGAGCTCCTAGGAAGCAAGACCGCCTGGCCCCAAAGCCTCCAACTGAAATATGGCAATGCAAAAGCGCTTTGACTGCGGTTGAATTATTACAGGTTTATTATTATTATTATTATTAAAGGGTTAATTTTTCATTAAACTCTAAAATGCAGAGCAGGGGTAAAATAGTCCTTTACTTTTCAATACAGCAGTAGGGTTTGTTGAATAGACCTTCCTCTGTGTAATGACGAATCCGTACACGGTATAGAGTAAATGTCGGGGTTGTAGACACCCAATAAATACTGACTAAATGACTAAGCGTTTCTCTGGCTCCTTTTTGTTCCTCCTTATAGTTCATTACACTTTCGGGGGTCGGTCATTATTATCTTTTTAGACTGGCCTTTTTCATCTTTGACAAGAGAAATGAAGGGAAGGTGTCTGGGACCCTGGGGGCTGTGGTGGAATCGTGGTGGCCCAAAACCAAAAAGGAAAGGGGAAACTCGGTATTTTTCTCTGCATTTTTCCACACTGTTTGGCTCATACAATGTGTACGTTTGCATCCTTTTCTAAATCAAGAGTATAACACACGTTTGTCCCTATTATCACAATCGTTTCATTAACTTGTTTTATTTTTTATCATCTTAACCATGTTTAAGTGCACAATTCTGTAATGCTAAATATATTCACATTGTTGTGAGAAAGATCTCCAGAACTTTTTCATCTTGCAAAACTGAAACTCTACTCATTAAACAACTCCCCTTTTCACCCATCAACTTTATTATTAATGGCTGTATAATAATAATAACTAATTATGCCTAGCACTGTTTTAAGTATATATGTAATTGCCCCACTTGAACCTCAAACTAACTCTATGAAGTAGGCATTATTATCATCATCTTATAGATGAGAAAGTTGAGGCACAGAGACCTCAAGTAACTTGCCTAAGGTCACATGACAAGAGGTTGAGCTGAGATTTGCACCCAGTCTGGCATGGGAATCAGTGCTCTTAACTCTACCTGCTACACTGAACCCCCTGACCTTGGCCGTGTAGACTGTTTCCTATTTTTTTGTTATTATAAATAACAAAGCAAGGTACGTCTTTGTGTGTAACCATCTCCCCCTCCCAAACTGAGTATTTTCCTGAGTGAATAGGTATGAACATGATGCCAAGTTGCTTTCCAAGAAGGAAATCCATGTCCCTTTCATAGAATTTGACAATGTTAGTGTTGATGTGGCAGGAAATTGCTCAAGGTCACCCCCGAGAAGACGATGGCAAAGAAAGGATTAACACCTGGGTCTTCTGATTGTAGTTTCTCTTGCCCTCCACTGCCTTCTCTTAGATTTAAAGATACCCTAGGGGCGCCTGGGGTGGCTCAGTCGGTTGAGCAACCAACTCCCGGTTCCCACTCAGGTCATGATCTCAGGTTGTGGGATCGAGCCCCACGTCTGGCTCCCTGCTCAGTGGAGAGTCCGCTTGGGATTCTCTCTCCCCCTGCTAGCTCACTCTCTCTCTCAAAATAAATAAATGCATCTTAAAATAAATAAATAAATAGATAAATAAATAAATAAATAAAGATAGCGTAAAACCAGTATCTTCCTTTGCTAAACCAACCTCAGTTGACATTAGACTCCTCTCTGAGACTTGCTTGTCGAGGCAGGATGTGGGTTAACTTCCTAGGGCTCAGCCAAAGCCCTAAGAACTAAATGGAATAAGATGCTTAATGAGGCCAGTGCTCAAGTTAAGCCCCTGCTTCTCAGGAAGCTCTGCACTTGGATAAGGTAGAGCTGCAGCCAGGGACAAGCGGAGCATGCCACGCAAGATAGAAGGCTTCTTGTTTTTACTGCTCTTTGGCTATGAAGGTATGTGCGGTGCAACCATTAGCATTTACCAAATAATAGTACAATTGAATTAGTAATTTTGCTGATTAATAGAAATGCAACCTGAATAACTAAAATATCATTAACTGGCAAGGCATGTTAATTGATCAAGATGCATTGTTAATGAACAACAGTTGTCTTTATGTGGATGTGGTTCTCAGTTTCACCGCTGGCTTTCTGGTTCTCTGAGGAGCCTTCTAAAGTTCCAAGGATGCTTGAAATGGGACAGGAAGAAGGAAGGGCCTCAGAAATTATAGAAAATAACTATAAATTGCAACAATTAACAAGAAAGTGTGGTGTAGCCCTGAAAATTTTTAGGAGTCAAAGTTAGAGTGCCCGTAGAATTTAATATTCCAAACTAGGACACTGCTGAGAGCGGAAAAGAATGCTATTAATAATTCTGCTGGTACAACAGGTGTAAACCAGGACTGTCCCGGGCAAATCCGGACGTGAGGTCACTCTAGTTTAAATATGGATTAACATCACATGCCGACTACCGCTGAACTCTAATAGAAAGCATAATCCAACGGAGAGTCAGGAAGCTCCAAAGACTCTATACACTCAATCGTTTTTAAATTTCTAAATATGGCCCTGGCCGGAGTAATATGCTTAAACAAGGAGAAATTAAAAGCAAATCTCTAAGACATCATCCAATTCAACTTTTAAATTCTAGTCCTTCATGCCTCTTTCAACTCCCAAGGACCTGTTAGCTCAGAATTCCTTTCTAGATTCATTCTGAACATTAGAAATTGGTTGAATGTCTTGTTCGAGGTGATCGTGTATTTATGCGTGTCCCAGGAAATAAATAAGAAGGGCGGGAAGGAGGAGGCCTCTCCACTCTGCAAATGACCTGGTGGACAGACGGGACGCAACTCACACAAGTGGAGTCAAAATTCCTGGTTTAAATCACGCTCCTCTCTGCCCTCCCATTAGACATTATTGGTAGAGTATGTGCTTCCATCATCCCCCCAGTCGCATGCCTTTTGGTATTTCGTCACCATTCTCAGTATTTGGAAAGATCTGTATGAATATAATCCCAAGGTCATTTTGCAAACCCAAATACATTTCTTAAGTAGGGATCATTGAGACCAATTGTCTGGGTTTTTTTTTTTCCCCCCGCTTTGCAATGAAGAGTCAGCGACTTATCTCGGTAACTCTCAATACTTGAAGGTGCTCCGGGTGTTTTGTTGTTTTTCCTTTACTCCTTGCCCTTTCTTCAGCAAGAAAATCTAAACAGAACCTTTCAAGGCTTAGATTCCCGGACTTCCGGTTCTCTGATATCCATAGGCCTCACCCTCCGATTTCTCTTCTGTGTGATCGGCATTGAGATTCATCCAGCCAGCCAGCCATCCACTCATTCTTTTGTCAGTTCGTTAAAAACCCACCCCTGAATTGCTGCTATGGGCCAAACACTGTGTAAGAATTTGACACGCAGGGTAGATCGTTATTACTTTCACAGTGCTGAGTCTAACACCTGTGCTCTGTGACCCCCCAAAGAGGAAAAAGCCCTATAAAAGTTTACCAACCCCTTTTTAAATTAGACCTGCCCATTCAGGAGATATCTGTAATAAAAGACACGCTGTCAGGAGGCCCGGAGCACAGCATTCTTTCCTGTTCTATCTCTTACCAATCTGTGTGCATGGCTGAGGGGCTCCAGAAATTTCCATGAAGAGCAGAAAATACCATCTGGCTGGGTGGACTGGAATGTGGTCCACGGGGTGGTCCAGGGACCATTTTATGGTCCGTGTGGCTTGGCGACCTATGTGTGCTCTACCCTGAGCTAGAGGGATGCTCAAGAGGCAGAGAAAAAAATACAGGAATACAGGATGCAGTTGTTGCACTTCATCAGCTTCCCATCCAGAGAGAGAATCAAGGCCAAAGCACAGGGGGAAAATGTTTTCTATTGCACAACTGGGAACCGGAAGACAAAGGTTCTTTGTCTAATGTACTCTTCACTGTTTCTGTTTCACAGTGGCAGTAGCTCCTTATTACAGTGAACTAAGATAAATGGATTGACTCCACCACCTATGCGTTGGATGAGGGTTCATTTGGGAACGGAGACACTGTCATCGTAAAGCACTACCTACCTCTGATAACGGAGGCAGGCTTCTATTTATCTTACATTGTACATCTTGGGTTCAACGCAAATGATGATTTTTAAAAATCCACCTTATTAAAATAAAGAGGTCCATTACTTGGTCATGTTTATATATATATATATAATATATATATATATTTTAAAAAAGCAAGCCTCATCTTACAGGTGTGTCTCCTTTGCAGGTGACAGCAGAGTTGTTTTTTTAAGCAGCTTATTGAGATGTAATTTACATAGCATTAAATTCCCCCATTTAAAGCGTGCGATTCGATGGTTTTTAGTATATTTATAGATTTGTGGCGCACACAATCCAATTTTAGAACATTTTCGTCACGCCCCCTTCCCCAAAGAAACCGGTAGACATTAAGCCCTTTTCCCCCTCCCCCCAGCCCCTGGCAAACGCCGATCCACTTCCTGTCTCTGTAGATGTGTCTGTTCCAGACATTACATTTAAGTGGAATCATAGAACATATGGTCTTTTATCTTTCACTCAGCATATGTTTTTGCGATTCATCTGTGTTGAAGCATGTACAGATAACAGATTTACCCAGGAATATGCCTGTAGCCACAAATAGCAACATTTTCACACCAGGACAATTTCCTTCTTTCTTCTTCTTCGAGAGGGACATTATTGCAGCCTGCTGCTTTCTTCCTGTGTCTTACTCTTGGTTCTCAAGTAGATGAGAAGCTAGTTACTGACAGCTTTTGCCATTCATAATTTTATGCTTTTCTCCTCAGCTTCATCTGTTTCCATGGGAAGGAAAGCTCTGGACTTAGTGACATCCATCAAAAAGACTCAAAGAGTCTTTCCTATGTGTGTCTAATGCCCACTTTTCCTCTTGAGCTTGCAAGGTACATTTTGAGAGACAACAAGCCTTGAATTTTATTGCTGTGATAACAAGGGTTTCCCCACGGAGCGGCCCTTTGGGCAAAAGGGCAGAAGGCAGAACGAGCCCATGTTGCATTAATCTAAGATCGGTGAGTGGGAGACATCTCAGACGCTTGGGCGGAAACCCGTAGCATGGGGAGAAACCTCAAACACAATCCCAGGAGGGAGAAAAATATGCAACCACATAATCAAAATCTTTTCCTCTTTTTCCTTTCAAGGCTGACCTGTTTTCTGTCACTCATTCCAGCGACGTTATTTTCTGGTATTATAAGATGTTGTAGTCAAGCACACTTTTGCTTTTGCTCACCAGCTTTTTGGTGAGGAAATCATTTCGGGGACTCTCCAGCCATGTTGCTGCTCCCTTGGTGACAGCTTTTCCTGAAAAATGCTTGTTGTTCCTTCTCTCTCTGCTCATTTCCATAAGGATCTGGTGCCTCAGATCCCCAGGCTGCCTGTAGACGAACGCTTTCTGGGGAGGGGAGCCTGGGAAGGAGAAAACATCAGAAGTCTGCCCAACATCTGACTGAACACGGGAAGTGGCTCGGAAAGCAGGCCTTCCCCTTGGGATTCTTCCTCCCCACAGGCACACAGTGGCAGAACCGCGCGCGCGCGCGCACACACACACACACACACACACACACACACACACACGCCCCACTGCCCTTTCCTTTTGGCCTTCTGCTTTGTTTCTGCAGAACGCAGCACCCCCAGGGCCCACCTGTGACCCTGGGGAAAGGAAAAGGCCCCGAAGGCCACAGCAATCAGGGGTCTCGCTGGATCTCTGGGTTTGCTCAGTTGCAGCTGCAAAAACCCTCCTCAGCGATAGGCGCAGGCTCTGAGCCAAATTGATTTGGTTATTAAGGCCACACTGTCAGTGACCCACACACCTCCCCTCTGACCGCCCCCCCCCCCAAGAGGGTCTTGGCACGATTGACGTTTGCCCAACTGACAGGGCCTTTCTGCATTTCAGCCATGCCCAGCTTCCCTTGAAGATGGGGTGGACCCAAGCGCCTCCTGGATTACCAACCCCCAAATCAAGTCGATGCCACTCGTGCACGCCTCTACTTTGCGGTTCCTGGGGGGCAGCTGCGGGACAGAGGCGCCGGGCTCACGTGCACACCCCCTGCCAGGAGTGCAGGGCAGCGCCCACCCAGGCTGGGCTTTCCCCCCGAGCTCCAGGAGCTGCCAGCCAGGAGCCCACTTCACCTCAACACTTGCGTGTCCCACAGGCCTCTCCAGGGGAATATCTTCACTCCATCCCCCATAGTCCCTGTTCCTCCTGGAACCTTCCCCTCCCCCAGGAAATGGCAGCCCTCTCCTCCAAGTCCCTCAGGCCCTGAACCTCTCTCTCTCTCACACCCCTGCCACCTGTCAGCAAGTAACTGTTGGCTACCTTCCACAGCCGGTCAGAATCCAGCCATTCTCCTCCCCTCCACTGCCACCAGCTGGGCCAAGCCACCATCGGCTCCCGACCCAATGACTGTGTCTCCCCACTAGGCTCTCTGCTTCCAGCTTGGCACAGGCAATCCAGTCTACACCCAGCAGCCAGAGGGAGCCTTATAAGCCCCGATTTGTCTTGGCCCTCTTCTCCTCGAACCCCTGCAAGGACGTACTCCCGCTAAATGCCAAAGTCCTCATGTGCCCACAGGCCTGGCACGGATTGCCTCCCATTACCGCCCCCCCCCACTTTACCCCTTCATCTCCTAAAACTCTTTTACTCACCAGCTCCAGCCCCAGAGTCTCCTTGCTCTGTCTAGAGTACACCAAGTACCCACCCAGGAGCCACCCACCTCAGGGCCTTTACATTTGCTATTCCCTCTGCACAGAGTGCTTTGCTCACAGGTCTCTCTCCTCTTTCAGGTCTTTGCTCCAATATCACCTTCTCACTGCAGGATATTTTATTCATTCATTCATTAGCCCTCACCACCCACAGCCTAGACTATATACACCCTATGATGTACATCCTATTTTGTTTTGTTTTTATTTTTGTTTTTTAAG